GCAAGTTACATAAGGAAGCTCAACTGTGCACGAACAATGCTAAATGTAGGCAGCCATTTAAAAAAACCTCCACTAATCCCTAGAAAGGGTGCCAGGAAGCCTTTGCTGATCAGCATGGAGTAGATGATGTCACAGAACAAATTGGTTGAGTCTAACTGATTGCTGGCTTCTTCATTTGTGTGTCTGAGGACTGACCTCATTCACCTGACTAATCAGCCTAGAAACTTACTAACTTTGAAAGAAGAAGGTAAACACCACTTACACTGCTCTGATCCATTGTCCATTTCCACTGCTGTTGGGAATTTACATTAAATACATTATTAAATACATTTAATTAAATATGTATTTAATTAAAAAGGAGTTCATAAACCTTTTTGTTACATGTGATCAGAGGCAGGAACAAGAGGTACTAGCAGCAGCAGCCACTATGGTATTATGTTCTGTATTAGGTATTGTCAGGGATGGTACTGGTGGCCCGCATACTTTTTGAAGCCAGTTTGTATGTTGCTAGTGGAAAACATGATGCAGTTTGAGAACCCCTAATACAGACTATGTTAACAGTTGGATCTCATGGCACGCTTGGACCTTAAAGATACTGCTTCCAAGATGTTCAGAAACAGAGCAAGCCTTAACCAGGCAATCTAAAAACACAGATTAATAGTATTACTGTAGTTTAAAGATTTAAAGAAAAATACTGTCTTTAATAGAGTGGGAAAAAATATGTTAAATTATTATTTTAAGTTTTAGTCTGTAAGTGAATCAATAACAAGTTGAAAATGAAAGTTAATTTTAAAGATTTTGAAAACTTTGAGCAAAAAATTAAAATGTCTAAATGAAGGGGATGCCACTAACTTGAAAAATCCTTTTCCTGTCTAAAAATTCACTCTATGTATGATGTCTGAGTCAAAAACGTAGTTCCTATTTTACTTCAGTTTCTACTGAAAAGTTAAGGGATTTCTTACAAATTTGATTTCCTACATTGTTTATGGGAACCTGCATAAGTAGAAGAACAGGAAAGCATCTGTAATTTTAATTGCAGGTTAGCTTTTTTACTAGAACCAGACTTTAAAAATTGCTGTTTAATTTCTTTGGAAAGAAACTGAGCCTGGCAATACATTGGTAATACCTTGACATTTCCTTGTAATTAGAAGCATTTTCTTAAAAAGTTTTCCTCAGAGAACTTTTGAAGTTTTTTGTTTGTTTGTTTAATAGTACTGTAATTCCTATTGTTTTTCTTACATTTGTAAAGAAAAAGGCAGATTTGGGAAGGTAATGGAGATATATAATCAGGTAGTCTGCTTTTCAGAGAAGAAACGGACTACTCCTTGGTTTTCCACTGAAGTACAATTTACTTAACAACTTGGCATGTCCAAGGTTCATAGTAATTCCTGAACTTTTAATGTATCACAAGATGTATTTGTTTCCAGACTAGCAACAAAGTTATACTAATAAATCTTTGCCTACATTTTGAAAAAGATATGCCATGTGTCTTACCTTTCTGTTGCTTCTCAGAGGCAGCATATGTACACGTGTAGATTTTTCAATGCTCTGACCAGAAATAATATGGTGCAACGGCACTTTGGTTTTGTTCAACCTTTGTACCTGATGAATAAGCAGGCAGTGTAAAAAAAAAAAAATAATAAACCTAGAAAAACCTTAGCAAAAGATTGACTAGGTTGAGCAACTTCTTATAATCATCTTGGTTTTAATTGGATCTGCAGCCAATAGGGAAGTCTAATAGTAGTGTGCTCAAGTGTCAAGTTCCAGATCACATAGGAAGCACTGAGTTAAAATACCACTGGAAATTTATGAGCAAGTTGGGTTAAAATCAATAAAAGAAATGCTGGAGACAGAAAAAGACTTGCATTTTTTTTATGTGATCAGTCATCAAATGAAGAAAATTTCAAGATATTTGCATACTGAAGTAAAGATCTCTAGTAGATAGCTAAATGTGTTGAATTCTTGTGTTTTGGAAACATCAGCACCAGAGGAGCTGCAGGGTGTGGTATGTAAAGCTCATTATATGCAAAGAGTTATATATAGGCTATATTTCAGGAAGAAATTCTAAAGCCAAATGATACTTGTTCTGATTTGAGAGCATGTCTATATGCAGGTTGAAAAAGGGATTATATTGATACACAAACACTATGCCCAATAATTTTTTTTCTTGTATTAGTGCTTATTCTCTAAGCCTCATTCTGTCCAATGCACAGCATCAAACTACAAAACAATTCAGTCTCCTCTCATTCTCCATTCCTCTCAAATATATGGCTATAGAAACCATTTTACTTCACTATCCGTCTTTGTTGTTATGGCCACTTTGATTTTTTTGCTTTATATCTCTCAACATTCTGCAGCTTTTCTAAACCTCATCCTTATTTCAGCTTCATCAGTAGTATTCAAATTACCTGTGATAATGAATTGTCTTCCTGTGACAGCCATTGCTGATATTTTAATTGCCTCAGAAAATCTAAGAGAAGATGCATCACAGCTAAATCAGACATTTTTAGTCTCGAGGACAAACTCGGTTGCCTTGAAGTATTTAGCCAGGAGTCCATATTACATAAGAAAAGGAGACTTACCTCAGGTAAAGAGGCTACTCTGTAATGTGTCCACACGCACGTTACGTTGGTGGAAGAAGTAGAGTCTCTTTCCTTACTCTATCATGCATACTTGCAGTCTCAGGCATAGATGAGAAAAATTCAGTAGAGCTTGGAGACACCGTTGCCCTCAATGGTGGCAGCTGCTTTGACATGGTGTTTTGGAACACAGGAGAAATGTAGGAAGTGGTATTCTTTTCTCCCTCCCTAAATGCCCCAGTGATCTCCAGGAAAAAGCACCCTATTTGTACTTAAAGACATGCTCCCTGTGATCCGTACTGATAGTCTCTCCAAGTGAATTACATCTAGTGTGGAGATTTATTCTGGAAGTCATCAACCTTAACATTTTCTTGAATTCTTCATTGCAATGTCTCTGTTTTCATTCTGTCATGTCTTCAGTTGGGCTTGATTTGAGAGAAACTGTCACTGCTGAGACCTTGCAACAGCTTTCTTAAGCCCAAATTGAGGGATGAGGAGCCTCCAATAAAGAGGTAATATGAAAGCTCCCAGCCAACACCCTGTTCTGTGCCTTCCAGAGGATTTTGAATCACACTGCTCTCATAGCTTAAGAACACACTTCACTTAAAAAACTACTCCTTAGCATTACTAAGCATAACATAATTATTCATTCATAAACTGAGGTACTTACAGCGAGGGCCTCATTCTTTGGACTGGGACTGAACAAACCATTCTTACTCTCAAGAGCATTTTCATTTAATATCATGTTACAACCATCCAGTATTTCTTGGGCAGTCCCAGTGGGAGATCACCACTTCGATTTGTTTCTTCATCATCAGGCTCCAAAGCATCTTTGCAGCATGGTTTGCTAACCCGGCAGAATATGTATTTCACATCCTCAGATTCCTGGAGATTATAGATCTTTCTTGAAACCAGTTGGAAGACTGGTTACACTTTTGAATCTTTTTTAGAATTCCTCGAAAGTGGTGAAAACTATGTGGAAAGGCTGAGGGAGCTGGAATTGTTTAATCTCTAGAAGAGAAAGCTTAGTGGGTATCTTATCAAAGTAAATACCTGATAGGCAGGAGTAAAGAAAATGGAGCTGGTCTCTTCTCTGTGATGCCCAAGGGCAGGACAAGAGACAATGGTCACAAATTGAAGAACAGGAAATTCCATTTAAATGTAAGAAAAAACTCTTTTTACTGTAAGAGTGGCCAGACATTGAAACATTGCCCAGAGAGGTTGCTGGGTGTCCATCCTTCATTATGCTGACAACCTGCTTTAGGTGACTGTGCTTTCAGTAGTGGGGCTGGACTAGGTGACCTTCAGAAGTCCATTCCAACATCAGCTTTACTCTGCTTCTATGAAATTTTCATTATTCTGTTACCCTGAGATTATCCTTATGCAGTTCCACTATTTTGCACCATCTTTTAAGCCCCAGGGCATTCTTGGCTTCAATCATTGATCTGATAGTGTCAGTTACGCAATTTTAAATTTTTGGCATGTTGCAACTCAGGAAGTGTTAATGAAAAATACAAGAAAAATAAAATCTGAAGGAAGGTATCCAGCTAATTTTGCTGTTCTTAATAGCAGAAGTCACTCTGGAAACAAGCAAATAGTTTAAATTACCATTCTTGAACTGTGAAGGGAAGGAAGGTATACTCTTCAGGGTCTCAGGAGCTTTTGTTAATTTCCTTTATCTTTAGCTACATTATCAAATTCACTCTCTCGCTTTCAGGAATTTCATAGAAATTACTAGACATTACATGAAATAGTGAGAACAACTCTTTATGCCTTCCTTGATTCTGCTAATACATTTGCTTGTAGTTTACTATAGCTGCAGTGGTAGAAAAGTTTTTATGGTTGCAGCCCATTGATTTCCTAACGAGATTAAAGTCATGAATCAAGAATGTCAGAAATGGCTAATTTCTTAGTTCTTGCATGGCTAAGAAGCTCCACACTGTTTAAGCCACTTTCCATTCTTAAGGATTCCCACAATTTATTGCTAAAAGAAAGTCATCTTACCATATAGTATGCTTTATTTATGTGCATTCACAAATCACATACAAGCTTCTTTACTTCAAATTGCCTGTTCCTGTTCCAGGAATTCACTGATTGACAGCAACTGAGAGGGAGTAGTATACTTTTGCCAGTGTTGGGGACAATGTAGGTAGACAGGGTGGGAGTGTTAGAAAGTACTATGTGGGTACTGTAAGGGCAGAGAATTCTTCATCTTCTGCATTCCATGGTGTGAATTTTTATATAGCTGATAAAACTCCAAGAAAATTAGAGATAAGTAGGTAACTCCTTTTTTTTTAGAGTCTATGCAGTTTTTGTGTTAGATGATCATTTCGGTGAGGTTGAAGGAATACCAGAGTTTGATATGGGTTCTTAAAATAAATATCAACCAATAAAACTTACAAAAATGTTCTATTTTTACAGCACAGAAAAGTTAATTCAAGCTGTAGAAGAAGATATTGAACATGAAAAGGTTGTAGCAGATGACATAATAAAAGACATGTCGCAGGAAAAACAAGCTAAATATATGGAGATGAAGGCTGCAAATGAAAAACTCTCCCAGGTTGGTTCGTTTCATTGTACTGGCTCCATTGGTTCCAGATACAATTTAAATGTTAAAGAGCTTGAGAACAGAGTAATATAATGAAAAAGCTTGCAGGTACCTTAATCAATTTTAGAAGTGCCTGAAAAATAAATAGAGCAATTGACTAAAACCATAATTTTCCTTTTAAATTTGGGGACTGATATTCAGATTTTAAAAGCCGCTATAGTGCTTAGACGTTTCATCATGTGTAAACAACAAGCAAAAGGTAAAAACCAAACAAACCAGCAATTTTTTTAGTTCACATGAATAGAAAATTTTCTTCCTGTGTACAAAACTGAATCTGACTGGAGTCTTTTGTTGTTCTTGTTGTGTGTCTGAATGTCTCAAAGGAATGAACCAGGCTTTATAAAATTTTTGTGACTTCAATAATCCTAATGTTAACAAAAACAGTAAGATTTCTAGGTTCCCTGGGATCATCTAGCTTCAGGCATACAGTCTTAGAAGGTTTCTCTGTATAGTCTGTATATACATCTTTTGAGGCCAGTGCTTCCTAGCTGTTTTAGGATAAGCTGAATCACTAGTCAGAGCCTACCGTCTCTTTCTGGACTATGAAGAAACTGGGGGGAGTAGTTGACATGTTAAGATCTGACTTTAAAATTCTGAAATAGAAATGATAAATTCCACGCTTGATACTGATTTTGACAAAAATACTGGGAAAAGGGCAAACATTTTTTTGTTTGTAGCCCAACTGCAAATAAGAATGATACAAATCTATTGGAAAAGTTGGATGCTGAAAGTAAGCAGATATTATATCTGAGTTACTTGGAGAAGGTGGACACAGTCTTGTCTTTTAAATTTTTAACAGCAGCAATGAGGTGTTTTGCAGCATTTTATAATACTAAGTTGCATAAAAAAATTAATCTCATCAAGTAGTAATTTTTATCTGACTTTTGCCTTTTTTTCCTCTTTAGGAATTGGT